TCTACCTGCCCTCGGTCAGTTTGACTGTCGTTGTCTCACACTGTGATCGCTACCCAGAGGGACTGCGGTTGAGTCAAGATGCAGAGTACTGCATGTTAGAAATTGTAGTTTCCATCCTCAGAAACTAGCATTTGTCTGGCTCAATTGTACAGCCAGGCTACTTTATGAGGCAAAAATTTCTTGCAAAATAGTAGTAATATGTGTGCAGATGGGCACAAACCTCAGTTCGGAGGTTCGTGCACAAACCTCAGTTCGGAGGTTCGTGCTGGTTTGTGGGCTCAGCACCACAGGTGCCACACATTCCCTCCCTCCCTGACCTAGTCACCAGCCAGTGTGCACTGCCTGTCGCACAACTGTCCAGTTTCAGCAGGCGTGCCTGCTTCCCTTCACTGCCTCCCCTGGCAGTTGCCCACTCAAAGGCAGCATTGCCTGAGGAGGCAGAGAAGGAAAGTGTGTGCTCCTGCTGCAACTGGACAGTGATGCAAAGAGGAGGCGAGTAGGGGAGCCAGCCAGGGTGTGGGGGAAAAAGGGAATGCGCAGCACCTGTGGTGACACATTAAGAAACCAGCACGACCCTTCAAACTGAGTGAGAAGAGATTTCCCATTCCCTTCTTCCAGGGTTGTCATGGGTCCATGCAGCTTGCCCAAAGCTACACAGGCTGGCTGTTCTCCAAGAAGACACAGTGGGGAATTGAACTGTTGACTTCTGGCTCCTCAGCCAGGTACCTAACTCACTGAGCTACCTGGCCAGCCTCTTGTGTAGAGATGCAACCCTCTGTACAATGTGAAACTGGGTGGTGGCAAGAAGGATGTAACAACCCTAGACCAGAAAAATACATTTCTAGCATTAGGGTTGGGCATGCACCTTTTTCATTCTGTTCTCCATCTTAGCAAAGCAAAGCAAACACAAGAGGACTACTTGGTTCCTTTTTTTTAAAGGAGGACAATCTTTATTTCTCCCTAGAAGCTTCTTTGCCTGTCTTATCACATTTCCACCGCAATCAGTTCCAGCCACTGCAGTTGACAAAACCAAGGGTGATGAGTGTTCAGGGGAAGATGAAACTCTCGCACAATTCACAAGCTTTCCAATGGTGCACAGGGTTTACTGATCAGGTTTTGCTTAAGGCAGAAGTTAATTCTCAAGATCTCCCTTGGCCCAGCAGTTTGCTGTGCTCTCCTGGAGTCCTCTTCATTAGCACTGGCTTCTCTTGAGGGCGCTTCCGAGGACGCTGAAATCTGCTCGCAGGACGTTGGAAGGGGCACGGGTTTGCTGGAAGGGCTGCTGCCCGCCGGCAAACAGGGTGAAAGAGCCGGGCTCCAGGCGCCACTCCCCGGCCCAGACGGCTCTCTGGCGGAAGGAGAGCATGAAGGGCACCTTGGTCGCCTGGCCTTGGGGTACCATCACCCGACGGAAGCCGACCAGCTGCCAGCGGGGCACGGGCACGGAGGCCTCTCCCCACCGGAGGTAGAGCTGCACCACCTGCAGGGGGAAAAGAGCTCTTAAAGAGGGAACAAGGAAGAAAACGAGACCCTTCCTTCCTGGAAGGCCCCACGGATCTCCCCACACCCAGAGAGGGGGAGTGGTCTCGAAAACGCCAGAAGGACACGTCCATGGGAACCTCATCTCAATCCAATCCAAGGACACCCAAACTACTCCCTGTGGTGCTCCTTGCCTACCCATCCCCCATCATTTAAATCTTGTTTATGTTCATGATATAGAAAGCATCATCCTTCCTCAGCCACCGAGGTCCAGGAGCAGGCCAGCCCTCTCACCTCCTCGCCGTCTCGGGGGCCAACGTTCTCCACCACCACCGAGAGGCTGAGGTTCCCACAAACGGGCACCACCTCGGCTCCCAGCACCAGGTCGCTGTATCGGAAAAGGGTGTAGGAGAGCCCGTAGCCAAAGGGGTACAGCGGAGGATCGTCTCCATAGTAGCGGTACGTCCGTCCCGCCATGGTGTAGTTCTCCATTGGGGGGACCTGTGGGGACGGAGACCGAGAGACGAAGTTCAGGAGAGAAGGACTGCCGGGCCTAGTGAACGAAGAAGGAAAGTCCCTCGTTCTTGCCAGTAGCAAGTTAGGAAGCATATTGAGAGCCACCAAACAGAACCACATTGGCTGGATAGCTCAGTGGTTCAGGGTTCAAGCTACAGAGCCTGTGGTTGGGAGTTCAAATCCCCCACTGGGCATCTCCAGGGAGAAGGGCCAGCCTGGGTAGCCTTGGGCAAGCTGCACAGTCCCAGGGTGCCCCCTAGAGGAAGGGAATGGTAAAACCACTTCTGAGTATACACCATACCTAGAAAACC